TAGAGATGATTTGTACAGCAGAAGAAAAAAATCCCGAATTATGACCGTCTAAAAATCGATAACTTATACATCAGCACACATATGGCCTTCTTTTTTTCTTGGATTATCAATTTTGAAGCTTTTGAAAATCAAACGAAATTTCGTTGAACTTACCAAGTGCTACTGTTAGTAGCATTACCACCATTATTATTATTATCGTCATTATTATTATTGTCATTACTATTATTATTATTGTTATTATCATTATCACTATCATTATTACTATTACCATCATCATCATCATCACTGCTGCTGTCATCATAATCAGTATTTCCATTGTAATCATTATTATTTAAAGCGCTTATCACTGTTATAACAGTACTGCTTAGTATCATCTTTATTTTATAAATATTGTTAAACTAACAAAAACCATAAGACTGGAAATCGCTAACCTGCGAAAGAGCCACTACAGAATTATCGTCCTTCACCGACTGATCCACAATTAAGCGATTCGGTTTAATCTTGTCTTTTAGAATGGCCGTTGCCAATTCCTCATTTTTCTTTGTTTTTTCATCAACAGCTCTTAAAATAAGTCATTTCAGCTTTCGAATCTTTTTTTTTTTCAAAAGCTGAATTTGAATGGGCAAGGCTGAGCGTGGGCAGGGGGTCATTACCCTAAAATTTCAACCTCCTAGACTCCGTGGTTCTCGAGATATTAACTTACCCGTAAAAAACTTTCACGGGGCCATACGTGTTGCCCACGGGTACGGGGAAGCTGAATTTAAAATTGCGGGGTCACACGTGGATAGGGGACGTCCCCCTAAATTTTCAGCTTCCTAGCATTTGTAGTTCCCGAGTTGAAAGTTGCGGAAAAATTGCAGTTTATAAATCTCAGTTTATAAATCAATCGCAGGGAAGTACCACTGGTTTAAACACAACGATGTCTTTAAGATGCTTTACATATCTAATGCAAGCCCTCCATCCTGAGCCGTATCTGTCGGCCTCATCAATTACGAAACCCGAAAAGTCCGGACTGCCAGTTTTCCCCTTACAAGTACCATTTATTGAATAGGTGATTCCGGTTGTGAGAAGCACCGTACACAGATTTTACGATCTCACGTAGTTGTAATGATATCCTGCACGTCGCTCATCTGATGATTCACCCTAAGCATCCATCGCTCCGCCCCTTTCTTCCGCCCTGTTTCCCTCTTTCTGCTACAGCCAGTGTTTGTATTCTGCTTTCGTCAGAGACCACGTTTCGCATCCGTATGTCATTGTTTTTAACAAAATCATGTCTCGGGTAGAAAAAAAATCACTCTGTTAACAGATTTTTTTTTTAATGAAATGAAACTTACGTCGGGATTGATGCCATTTTTTTTTTATTCTCTTTTTAAAAAACTTCTTAAACAAATCGTTAGAAGCACGGTGCTTTGACCTCTGAAAAGCGTCGAATTAGTATGAAAAAAAATCAAACTGCGTTGTTACGGAAGCGTTTGCTGCGACAGCAAAACTTGCTGTATTCGGCCAAATACTACCGCCCCCCCCCCCTTCTCAATTAAACCCGTTTTCGATAATTTTTTAAACCCGTCATCAGCTTGTTTGTAAGCAACCATTGAAAGAGGGAGTCATCGACAGCCTGGTCGGCGATTTTTGCTATTGGCACTTGCTATCGCTCGGGCTACTTTCCATTCCACTCCCCCTCTCTCTCCCCGCCTTTCAAAGACTATAAATACTGAAGGGGTTTTGACTTTCTTTTTAAAAAAAAAGCTTAAGGTGTCAGGCATCCCCAGTTCAACGCCCAATTCGCTCAATTCAATTACAAACAGCCGTAATTCCTCCCCCAAAACCTGAACTT